CTCTTTCAAAAACAACATCAGAACTTTAACAGAGATTCCAGGCTTCCTTTTAAATTTCATCCCAAACATATTAGCATTTTATAAAATTGGCAATATTAACAGATTGATAGAAAAGTTAGTCTTTGTACCCCTTTACTATAACCTATGCAAGTAACAATTAGGTCCACCAAATCTGACATACATTTTCAGAGGTGACTATGCTCTGATAAGCCATGGCTCCAGCTTCTTGCCTGTAACAATTCTGAGCAAATAGCTCAACATGGTGGACAAAAGAGCAGCAGGCATACTCTTGTTATTAACATATTCCTCTTTAAATAGCCTCCATCTTTGCTCTTCCTTACTTGTCGGCATCTAATTAATCTGAGTATTGATCTCATAACCAAAGCTAGATGTTGCTGGTGGGTAAGTGAATCAGATTCGTAACAACAAAGCAAACTCACCAGTGCCTTAAAGGTTCAAAGTATGAGAAAGGAGAAAACCACCTCTCAAGCTACGCCTACTGGGAAAAGCTGTCTCTCTCTGGGAACAGGACGAAAAACCCTTGTGTCTCAAGGAGCAATCAGACACACACAAAAAGATAAAACATTATAAAATGAAATACTATTTTTTGCTTTTAGTGCCATAAGGCTGTAGGTGCAAAAGGAATCAGGAACGTGCAACGTTTTTTTTCATGGCAAATACACATGCTCAGCTGCCCTACTCAACTTTTACAGAAGTGAAGTCTTCAGTCAAAGATCACTAAACAGTGACCTCTTTTTGCAAGCTGCATTTCTCCATGGCTGAAGGAATCAAGGAGTCTGGCTGTCCATAATCAACATCCAGGTATGCTAACCAACAGCTTGCTTTTTATTTTCAGTCGGTTAATTATTTAGAAAGGAAAAACTTAATAGCGTATCAAAAAATGGACTTAAAGAACTTTTGTTATGAACATTGCACTATAAAGTTTGCTTGGATGCCAACTGGCATTGGCCCAGTGCGTATGAACCAAAAGGAAACACCCTTCCTCTTGGGATACTAGTCCCATATATTCTAAAAAAAGAATAGTTGTTCCTTGGTTACTAAGGACCTGAGGCAGTCAGTCCCCGTTGTTATCTTTTAGCAGCACAGTATGCTTGGGCCTTCAGCAAAGAGAACAGTTGCTAGGAATTTGCTGCATCAGAGCTAGTTTGAAAGTGCCGCTACTACCAGCACACTTGCGCGCTGGCAGAGTGCTCTCCTAGTATAAGCTGCACAGACAAATCCCACAGTTCGTTGGTCAAACACAGAATCTGGATTTTACTACAACCATTTACTTTTCCCCAATAAAAACTTATCATGTGAACAGCTTTTTCTCCAGCAGGAAATAAACTAACAACTTCAAATAAATTTTAACCTTACTCCTTTTCTATACATTGCTGCCTTTCTTATATGAAGGCCAGTCTTCATGGGGAAAGTTATATTAAATTAATGCCCACAGTCACACTGGTGTAGCCAGTGTGGGTACTCTTATTCCCACACGGAAGGACCTTTTCTTCGATTAGCTTATGTTACTCCAAAAAGGACTTCATCTAAACTAATGAAAACCTTAGGCCAGACCCACGCAAAGAATAGTTTGCCACTTTAATTGCCTTGGCAAAACACACCAGCAAAGCATTTGTAGAACACATGTAACTAAGAGCAAAAAACTGGTACCCGCTGCACCTCATCACATCCCTCCCCGTCCTCTTCCAGAGGAGGAATGAGCATTGCTGTCCATCCAATAGCTTCTACCCTATGAGTTTTTACCAAGAGCTGTACAGGGACGGATCAGACCTCATAATATCCCTAAACAAAAAGACTAGGTCAGAAAGACGGCAGTGCAATTATACAACATCCATGTCAGGCTTCATGTCTGTACACTGGCTTGCTACACCTGTACAGTCAGGCTAGTATTCCTGATAAAACTCAGCCTGATAAAGCTCTAATATACTGAATCACTTTGTGCATCTTGTGAAGAGACCTGACATGCTTCCTTCCCCTCTGCAGCAGAACACCACTCTAGGGAGAACACTGATGACACCTGAAGCTGTATGTTCTACCAGAAATATGAATCCATGATGTGAACTTTTTACAGAAAGAGATGAAAGAAAACTTATTTTTCCTTATTTTGAAGACGGATCATTTAAATTTCCCTGCATGGCTTGCCAGTTCTTGAAAGCTTTTGTTACCAAGACTGTTTCTTCTTATTCTCTATAAGCGTGATTCCTTGGCTGCCGACAGCTGGAACTGGTGGAGGGAAGTCAGAAGTGTAAAATGGTTCTTGTTAAGCAAGTTAGAGAAATGCAGTTCATTTTTTTTTAACGACAAAGGATTGTAAAATACCGAACTGCTGCAAAAAATTTTAATGAAAAGTGGCAACATAATAATATACTCTGGTAAATTAGGACAGGGTAGTAAGTGATTATACAAAAGTCCATTTGTGACAGAGACAGCAGGAGGGAGAATTCTGCCTTGTCCAGTATTTCAAAAGCACTAGTTTTGTACATGCTCACTGATACCATGAGCTCCCTAACAGGGATTCTTTGATCTTCTCCATTAAATATTTTTGTGGACTTATTCTGAACTTGGTAAGAGGGGGAAATACCATTGTATGGAATAAAAAAAAAAAAAGTCCCGAACTGTACATTCATATCTTTCAAATACAGAAACATTTGTGACAGTTTGGTCTTCAAGTGGTATTTTAAAAAGCTTTTCTATTGTTTACCTAAAGTACCTACTTCTTGTTCTCATAATACATGGAATCAAACCAAATCCAGACCTACTGAAGAGATGTTCTATAAGCCTATAGCAAAACAAATGCATTCTACTTAGTGGCTCGAACTGTATCCATACCTGTACTAGTGGGTTTGGATGCTCTTCCCTTAGGGACTGGCAGTAACAATAATTCCAAAGACTGTGGTGGAGTTGCTTTCTCTTGCTTCATCTCTGAAAGCTGCAGGGGATCCTCAGCAACCAGTGATTTCTTCTTCTCAGCCAACAGGGTGCCTGCAGCCCTTGCAGCAACCTCCTTGAGAAGGGCAGCTGAAGAGGTCATGGAAGCCAGAGAAAGGAAAGAACTAGCCGGAGGCGGGTGCTCCTGCCCAGGAGTCATGCTTCTTTCACTCACTTTCTTAGATAAAGCTGCTAATGTGGAGCTGGCTGACTGAGAACTAAAAGGTGAGGAAAAGGATTCGAATCTTATAGTGTCTTCAGTCCTTGAAAGAGATTTGTCCTGCAGAACGGCATTGGCTGCGGCTTTCAGTTTCAGGATAGCTGAATCAGGGGACAAACCACAGGTAGTGGTTGAGTTTGGCAACCACTTACCTTGATTCCATATAAAGTGACTACTTGCATTGTATTGGTCACTTTGTTCCTGTTTCTCAGCAAGCTTTCTGGCAAGAACACTTAGCTGCTGGGCATGATGAGCAGGTGGAGAGAAGGAGAGATTTGAGCCGAGATTTACGGGGGACTCGACTCTGCCATTGACTGTAACAGCAGCATCCAGCTTGAGGGAGCCAGCCTCCAGTAGCCGCCTCAGGTTACTACTCAGTGGCTTATTTGGACCAGGAGGTTCTTCTTCACACAGAGATGACACATCAGGAGAAAGGTGCTCTTTGCTCTGTAATGTGTCTCTTAGTGCCTCATTTTCAATGGATCCCAGCTCCGCTGTGTTGCTGCTAGGAGTTGCACTTCCCAAAGAAGTATCTGGGGAAGTGGACTGCTCTTGGATTCTATCCTCAAGAGACAACTTAAAGTTCTCCTGGACTTCTCCATATGACGCTTCTGAAGGAGTTTCTGAAGAATTTCCAAACCAGCGTTCTTCTTCACTGAGTTCACCTTCCACTTCTTCCTGTCTGGTACCATCTGTGTGGAACCAAGAACAACAGCATTATTCCCAAATCTGCGTAAAAAAACTTCTTAGCATGAAGTATGCCTGGCCTCTGCATGACCCTCCTGAATAGTCACCTAACATCCCCCTTAAAGTGCACGGACATGGCATCAGCCTGGATTAAGTGACCAGGAAAAAGTTTTTTGAAAATTAATAAGTCTTTCTTTGAAGACAAAATCTTGACAAGCCTGTCGTCTTTCAGTCAGCATAACTAAAACAGCTAAAACTGCAACAATACAAATATACATAATATATATTCACATATTGCAAATATTTCATCGGTATAGTCTGTACATCCTGCAAAATATTATGAACTCTGTGGTACAAAGCAGGGATTTAACAGGCCCAGAAATAACTGTATACTTGTGTCTTTGTACAGCTAGCACAGGCACACCTTCAAAAGCAGATCAGGTGGGTAGCTACTCAGAGTAGTTTCTTCCAGTGACTTTAAATCTCAGCCCAATCCTGCAGTGACCCCTATCTAAAATAAAATAAAATTTGTACCGATAATAACAATTCATTCCTGAGTAGCTGAAATGACTAATACATGAATGAGAGCTAAAGCTCTCATCTCTCCAACTATTTGGGAAAGGAATATCATACACACAAAACTAATCTTTGGGTTTTTTTCTTCTTATTTAGACACTACTTGCTTGTCATTTCCTTGTCACTCTTCATTAATGTTAAAGTTTTAAAGACCATCCTAAACTGAACTTAGTTTAGCTGAAAAGAAAAAAAAAAAAAGAAACAAAAAAGTGTTGGTCTCAATGCAGTTAGTTACATTTTCTCCTCTCCAGTAACTGCAACACATCTAGTCTCCCCTGAGACCTAACTGACAGTGTTTAAAGCACTGTGACCCTGGCTTGCTCTTCTTCCTGATAGGTATTCAAAGTCATACAGACATGACCAAGATTTTTTTTGCAGATCTTGCTGGCCAATCAGGACTTAGTTAAGAACAACAGCAATGCTAGAATTAAATCCATGTTATCTTCTCTTGCCAAATACCTCTCACATTTCTTGCTTTTAGACTCAATGTCCCAAGCTACAAAAGAATCTTTGTAATCATACTACAGCAAAACAAAAGGATTTAATATAACCCTCCACTAACATTCTGGAAATAAGCCTGCATGATATGTACTGTATCTATGATCACGTGTTACTCCCAGATTCCCTATTTAATTCCAGCAAATTACAAAACTTGGAGAGAAGTTGATGAATCAAAACTTTGATTTATATTATTGCTTTGATCCAATGAATTTAAGGAGGAAAAAACCCAGCCAAATATACCATGGGTGTAGAGATACCAACATACACTCTGAAAACAAAGATTTTTTTTTTTTTTTTTTTTTTAAATGTTATACAGAATATGAGGAATAGTCTCTCACAGTAAGTTCCTTTTACTCAAAACCCTTTGGAAAAAAAATCACCAATGTTTTAAGAGCCCATAAGAAAACCACTCAGTTACCTTAGATTAGTAATTCAAGCAGAAGAGGGCTAGCATCTTTCCTATTAAAAACAAACAAAAGCCAAGCAAAACCCAAAGCACTTACCTAAAATTATTTTGATATTATCCAAGTTAACATCACAGACACAGTGCATAAAGGCCAATACCATGCACATTCAAATAAAGAAGATAGATGCTAATCAGTTGAGCCAGCGCTTATGCAGGTTAAAGGAGAACTGAATGTATTCCCTTTTCACCCTGTGAACACTAAAAAGTAACCTGAGACATGTCTGTACAGGTGGGTGCACTCAGATGAGAGATCCGTCCACTCATCCCAGATCCAAGCAAGTTCTGGATTGGAAGCTAAAAAAGCACCTTACTGGCACTTTGCCTGAACTGATATACCAAGAGCAGGGCACATCCTCTGGGACACAGCCTAGAGTTGACACCACTACACAGCTTCTGAGCCAGAGCTAGCCTGCATCCTACCGCTTACCTCCATACATCTGCTTACATCTGTCTGTGTTAAAACAACCCCTCCTTGCTCCTGCAAACCCTACTCTCTCTGTGTTTCTGCTCCCCATCCATAAATAGGGAGGGAGAATTGCATTTCTCTTCACTCAGAAAGTCATCCCAAAATTACAGTTTGAGAGATATTTAAGTGTAAATGGTTACAAGAGGAAATGGGTTTCTGTTTCAGAGAAATCTCCAGCTTACTAAACCCCCAAATTTCTCTGTTCCTTACCATGTGCCTCAATTTCTTAATGTTGATATGCATCCTAGTCACCACCAGACTTTAAAATACTAGTTAATTAACACTGTTTTACAAATCTCTCAATCTTGTTCATCCTACTTGCACTGGAAATGAACTATTCCTTCTCACCCGCATCAGCTTTTGCTCTAACCATAAAAGTAAAGTCCTGCATGTATTTTCATTATCTATTCCTCATCTCTAAAGCTGACATCTCAGGGAACACTTACAGTAGCTGAGGAACAGGACACTGGTATTTTAAGTTGATGGTAAGGATGGGGAGAAAGAAACTACATGTGCTATGGCATAGCTGCAATACAGCTTTCTTCAACAGTAACACAACTACACTATGCCTGGAACCAAAAAATAAGGTAGCAATAGCAGAAGAGATAGCAACAGCACATGGATTGCCTTGTTTTTTCTAGACATGCATATTCTCCATTGGTCTTGCCTATATGAAGAGCGGGCAGCAACATTTTATTGACAGGAGTGCGTACTCTTCATTTAAAGGCTTGCCACCAAGTCCAGAATTTCCCTCTTCTTTGGGTAATGCAGTGAGAGCTCCCCCTCCTGTTGCTAATCTACCTGTAACCACTCAAGCACTCTCAAATCTCCAAGCGGTCTCCATAACAAAGGGCAAATTTCCTTTGCAGCATCTCTGTCCCAAAAGCCAGCTGGATATTTTTTTTTCCACCCGTGCAGTTTCTTTCTGTACCCAGAAACCAGATCTCTAACTGCTGACACAGTTCTAATTTTCCTCTTCTCAGTAATTCCCTCAGTTGCTGCAGTATCAAGTCTGCTGTATGTTAAGGCTGTAAGGTTAATGCTGAAAAAGCCAGCATCAGTGTCTTATCATGCGCTCAGTCAAGCCTCCTTTTAAACGGTAGTGAATTGGTTTAGAGGCATAATGGTGAAGCCTGGCAATTTCATTTCTAAGCAAAGTTGCCATTCAAAGCCTTCAGGGCAGGATTTAAATTCACATTGACTTCGTGAGCCTGTGAGTTTGAACAAGCTTAAGAACTCCAGGAGAAATCAGCCCAACCCACCAACTTTCCTACGATTTCAAATTAAATAAAACCTTCCCTCAGAACTCAGAGGGTTCATGGGAGACCCAGACCAGTCTGAAACAGGAGCCAACCTCCATGTGTCTGTCAAGAAACTTCAGCTGTATTTCACATCTGTGGCAGAAGATCTGCATGACATGTTTTTCCCTTCTCTCGCAACACAGCTAAGGAGCTCCAGTGAGAAGTCCTTGAAAGCTAGGAATAGAAATGTAATACCACATTTAAATTTCTTCTCTCCACCATAAACATACCGTAGTTTGTTATTACAGAATTACTTATGAACGTCAAGCTACTGGCATTTCATTTCTATTGCAGCCTGAAATGCTAAACACGGGTAAGAAACAACACAGAAGTTACAAAGTTGCAAAGCAGGAAGAGGTAACTTCAGAGTTAGAGGGTTAGAGGTAAATTCTCACTGACTTCATTTGGAGCAAGACCTGGCTGGGAATCTCACCAACTTTTACCGAGTAACCGCTCATCAGATTACCTCTTCTCAACATGATTCAAGAGTCAACACCTGTCAATGACTCTCCTTCCTGATTTCCATGGCACTTCTGGAAGGAGAACTGCTTCCCGAACCATTTGCCACTGGCAGAGGCTAGTGGAAGTTACAGGTGTCCTGCATACTTCAGGTCTACCCCATCACACAGCACCCAGGAGCCTCACACAAGTACTTCCCACTCCTGTCAGCGATGACAAAAGGCACCAAAGTACTGTTGGGCGGCTGCTGCCACTGATGTAGCCCAATATCAATCTCTGGCAAAGCCACAAATGTGTGCAGAAGCACTGTTTGAAGAAGTGCCAATTTCCCTCGCTCGCCCACTCATCTGCTTGTTTTCAAACACAGAGAAGTTCTGTTTCCTCTTCAAGAAATCAGTTTGACAGACAAATCTTATTGATCCCAAAGTATGTTATTTCACTTTGTGAGCATCTGCCCTTTTACTTAGAGTGGTGATTAGAATTTGACCCTGATATCAATAGAAATGTAAATATTAACTTGCCCAAACTACTTATATCTGAAAACTGAAAAAGGCAAACACTTTTGTTGATTTATACACTGAGCCACCCAATTCAAATGCTGGAAACTTTAATTGTACCCAACGTAATGTACACATGCCATTCCTGAAAGTGGCAGGTGGGAGATGATCCACAGTTTCGCTTTGTAGGACTTGGAGTGGGGAAATATTAATGTGGCAGGCAAGATCCAGAAACAGTATGTGCAGCACACAGAAAAGGTAAGAGTTTTCAAGTTGTGGCACTGAGCAACAGACATGGGCAGTGAAAACATGACTGAAAGAACACCATTTGGACCACCAGAGATTATCTGAGAAGAGGCTACAGCTAAGGAACCGACCCCAAAGAGACTGAATTTTCATGCTAAGAGGGACAAAGTTTCACTTCAATCATTCAGTGCAATGAGTAAACTAAAAAACTTCAATACAGAATTAACATTGCAAATCTATATGTTACGGTGATACGAAACATATGGAAATTGTAATTATGGGATTACAGAATGAAAATTAAAACAAATATAAAAGTAGGTAGAAGTCAAATAAGTTGAAAGAAATGTGCACAGGAAAATTGTTGATGAGATAAATTAGATAAGATTGCCCTAACTTCAGCAGTTACATTTCAGGAAAAATCTGGGAATCTACAGGACCAGGATTTAAAGGGATAAGAGAGCCAAACCACAATTTTACTACCTTGATATCAAATATCTTGATCTATATAAGGATTTCAGATAGGATTGTTCAAGTTTGTGTCAATTTAAATAAAGTTATAATTGCATTTGTCGGCTATTTGGCACCCAGGCCATCTTCCTAATTTGTTGCCCCAACAGCTTATCTTATTCCATCTCTAATGCCTATCATAAACCATTCTCTGTATTATCTTATACTAAACACTATACCTAGGCCTATGAAAGAGCTAGGATTAAGTGATAGGTTTACACTAGGGAACTGAGGAGCTCTGCAAAGATATCTAAAGAATTTAAAAGGATGCATTAAACTTAAATGAAGCAGTAAGCCATCCATAAGGAGTTCTGAGGAAACACAGACTGACTCAGACGAGCAATCAGTTTAAGGCCAAGTAAATAGGCAGATGCATCAAAAATAAGGCAGAGACAACACCTGAGCAACTTAGAACTTAGCCTCATGTGGCTTTTGTCAAGAATAGCAAGAAAAGGGGAGTAAATGAAGAGAAGCATCAGCTGACAACCGAGAAGGTATGGACAACTGTAAAGGCATTTAACTAGTCATGGACAAGGAAGAGGTAAGACAGATAGTAAACTGGTGTGTTTATATTTGGCCTCCAGGATGGCTTCCCAAGTCCTACTCCCTCCTGTCTGCTTTCTTAGAACCCTCAAACGAGGATTAGGGATCAGGGCACAGGCCACCGGCAGTCCATTTCAGAATACCCTCTCTTTATAGGTGCTGTAACCCAGGTTCCATCATGACTGTTACCATCAGCATCGTATCCAAAGAAGAGGAGCTTCCCATCACATGATGGCTGCACGTTCAAGAAGAGAACACAGGCCCACAATGTCTCCATCTTAGCTCTGCGACAGTCAGCCAACTTACCCCCTTTAGAACTGGAATATAAAAGGATGCTCACTTCCTTCAGCCAAACTCAGTACCACTGGCACGGAGGCCTTGAAATTTGTCAGAGACTGGTTGCTAGCCACCATAAGCAGAAGCCATACTGGAGAAGCTCCAGGATGAAATTAGAGGAGGGGAACTTGAAGTCCTAACTGCAAACAGCACATTCAGTGAGAACTATCAGCCACAAAAGTGTCACATCAGAATTTAGTGCAGACCAGATAATACAGAGGAGAAAAGAATGAAGGAGCTAAGGACTGAATACAGTAGATACCTTTAGGTAAACTACGTACACTGTTTAAGTGCATCATTTTAGCAATGGTAAAAAATAATTACAAGAGATCACTTGCTAATATCACATCACTTTCTAATTCACATTGTCTCTGGGTGTCAGCTTCACATAAACCCTGGCTGATTTCACAACCAGGTACTATAGAAAGCAGCATGCACAGGCCTAAAAATGACAGTCATATCTGGGAAATCTATTCTGTGGTATCTTATCTAAATTGCTCAGTCTAGCTGCCTACAAACTACCCTTTTTGTATACAGGCTGTTTTTTAAGCATTTCAAATAAAAAAAGAGTGAATGTCATTTCTCTGGGCTGAACAACCTTTGTGGGTTCCCACACCCACCAGACCATGTGGATGTGTGTGCTGTAGGACTACCTCAGAGAAGCTGGGCACACTGTGCACCGACACCCTACAGGCTCCACCTCTAAAAAGCACTTACAGCCACATCTGATTAGACTATATGTCCAGAGCAGCAGCTATGTTGATTTTCCCATAGGGATACTTGCAAGAAAATCACGATTTTAATAAAGACACAAAGGCCTGCCTTAACTCCTTTTATTATATCAACAGGAGCAAATAAAACTTAAAAGTCACAGTTACATAAACAGTCATGTGCTAGAGTGCCCTCGGTCCCCCATTTTCCCTTCATGATTTCTGTGACCTGTAATAGGTAAGCAGCACAGGAAGTCACTGTCCTCTTTGAATGGAATTTCTGGCTCGCTCACTTATCAACGGGATGATTATTCAACTCTTGACCTCATCACAAAATGTTTTAGCAGTGTTGCTGGTGCTTGAACCAAATTTCTCTACCGCAGGCTGACCTAGAGAGAGCAGCACAGCTGCAAGAAGGGACTGCCAAAAAGCCATAGCTCTTCTGTTCTGTCATTCTCCCCTGTGTTTAAGATGTGTGAAAATACTCACACAATTAGACAGGAAAAGAAGCCCTAGGTAGGACTCTGTATTTCATCTCCACATCTTCTAAAATAATGATTTTCCTAACTGGAGGGAAGGAGGAGAGGGGAAAAGAAAGGCACGGCTTTTAAAGACAGGCATATATCCTCTACTTTTATCCCTAACTTAAAGTGACTTTGAAAAAATCCATTTACAAGAAAACCCCAGAATATTCACCTAGCAATTTCTCTAGTACTGCTTTTTTAAAAGAGGGCTCCAAGACAAACAAGGTTAGAGAAAGTTAATTACCTTGCAGTAACTGGAACTCTTCAAGATGCTTTGCCCATATGCACAAACAACTGTGAATGTGCAGAAGTACCATGCATTCAGGTTTGCCAACTGCTAGACAACCACAGAAGGTCAAAACGCATGTACAGCACCTCAGTTTCCTCTCAAAGGCAGAATCCAGGTGTGATGGACTCTTCCGAGGAAGAAAGGAAGCAGGATGGATTACTGAAAAAGCTTGTCACAGACAACATAAAACTGCCTTTATTTCCTTTCCCTCAAAGGAGAAGAATTTTGTGGCAGATGGGAAACAGAGACAGTGGCCTTTTATTTTCAGCCCCAGAATAAATGCCTCAAGTGGGTTTCATTACCTGCCAAAAAGATCCTTCTTTTACTAGCTAAGTATCCATGGAAGAGGACAGAAATACATAGTTTCTCCTGAGGTGAACTGTCACTACTTGATGAAGGTTCTCAGGGCTGTTGACAGACCACAAGATAGGATCTTATAGAAACAAGAAGTCTGATCTCCCCCAAAACAAGTTCTTCAAAAGATAACTCCTAGTAGGATGGATGTTTGACATCTTGCCTCCAAGAAAGATTAACTATTCTTCTGTTCTAGGCAAGAAGTTATAGTTGGTAGCTGTGGGATCAGTGTTTGAGGAGTGTTGCTTCCACTGGGACTCAGAGATTTTAAGCACCAAATGAACAGGCATTGCCTTGGAGTGCAGTTAGAAGACGCTGTTAAGGTGACAAAAGCTCAAGACCGAGAGAAGTGGTGGTCTTGTGCCCTCCCTTACATTTGCTCCGTTGTTTGTTTGACTGCTTGGTGAGCCAATTTCAACTCACTAATCTGGCAGAAAACTACTCATTCTGCCAAGAAGTCAGAACAAGACTGATGCGAAGGAGGCAGGAATGGGGAAGCAGGAGGAGGAGTCAACAATCTGAGCCACCTACCTCCTGAGGTCTTTTGGGGTGCAAAGCATATCACGTCTTGTCAATGAAAAACACCAGAGGATTCTCCCTCCCATCCCAAATCTCAACAATGTACTACACCTCTCGGGGAAGAGCTGGCACGTGCAGTCAGGATGGCCACATCAGTCAATATCATGCAGGCTGCTTCACAAGCCTTATCTGGGACATCTGCAGCTGGGTTGTCCAACATAGACTCTTCTGATACTAACTGAAAAAAACCCCTCTTCTCTAGAATTGGTTGGCAGCGTCTTTCTGGAAGAAGAAAAGTCCTAAAGACCCAGAAATAATATCTTAACAGTGAGGCCCAGTAATCAGCAACCCTGAAAAATAGGTGGGCAGAGCAGTATGTCTTTTAGTGTAATATATATGTATAACAATGTTACACACATATGTACATATATATAGTGTATGTGTATAATAATATATTTATAATATTTGTCTCACTACAGTTTAGAATTACTTTGTTCTAGCTGGATTTTGCCACTATTTGAGGCTTAGTGAGCTGAAGTACTTGAAGTGTGGGCATGAAACAGAATGGAACACACGTGGCCTTAGAGGAGGGGAATATTTTTGGAGACCATTTCTCAAGCGGTATGCCACAAAAGAGCATCCTACACAAAACACTTTCATTAGCTGACTTGACCAATACCCAGAACTCCTGGAGAGAAGGTAGACAAAGACAGTTGATTTTTATGATTGAGGTTTTCAGAAGAAACAAGTATTTCTTCAGTCAGTTTATGCTGCAAAGGCTGGCTAGTAGCCCCAAGACAGATTCATAAAGCACATAAAGTGTCAGTATAACAATAGAAAATCATGTTCCTTACAAAACATATTTTATGGTACCGATGTTCTTCTTGTAACACTTTTATGGAGACTGAGCAAAATACCACAGCCAGCCTTATTGAAAGTTTCTTCCACAGGCCCTCATGAACATCCTATAATAACCTATAGTTGAGTTTGGGCACACCTTTCATAAAGCACAAGACAGTGATCAGACTGATTTATACACTGAAGGAATATGGCCAGCTGAAAACCTGAAGTCTGTACATTAACATATCAAAGGAATACACCTCTTTTGCCTGATGAAAACAGAGGATATGATAAACCGTTTGCTATAAAACCAAACACTTTTTAAAGCAGCAACTCTGAGTCAGATTCAAGTCCCTTATCAGGAATTTCAGGCTTCCCTGTGTCTTTTAAAACCAGCTATGATATTAGCTGAAGACTCTGATAGAGTATTATAAATTTGAGGACAACCTAAACATGTGGGAGATCAACTGTTATTCCCACAGCTCTATTTGATATGGGAATCAGCTTTAACAATCTCTGATGGTTTAAGTGGTCCATGTGCAATCTTTTCCCTACACCTGGAGTCGTAGCGTATCATTTACATCAGTGCACATTTACCACTGTGGGCTCACTTACATGTTAAGTTCAGTACAGTGATTAGAAATTCTACCTTTTCTTAGTTATAAGGAAGTTTAAAAACTCCCTAAAATTATTCCTAGTTAGTCAAAATTCACTTTGCTTATTCATTTGTTTTGCTCTAGATAGATGTCTATGGCAATAGTTGCAGCAAGAAAGTATCAAATACCAAAAGGTAATAGGGATGCTGGCATCTCCAAAATAAGAGTTAAACATTATTCTCAAGACTTCTATTGTCCTTAGCACATAGAGTCCAGACCTATCCTCTCAGCCTACTTCATAAAGGAGGGGAAATACTTTAAGATTTCCCACCATGGGCCTTCATTAGAAATGAAACCCCAACCAATTCTAGCAAACAATTTGGAAAAGCTGGCTACAACCAGAAGATCTCTAAATGAGGGAAATTCGTTTCCATTCTAGATCAAATTATTGTGGGAGATAATCACATGAATGCCAAATGGTCAATATAGGAATCCATAGTATTTTAAAGCCATCCTTGAGTGACAATGAACTCCATGAATGAGATGAGATTTTAATCCTTTGGCAGGTCATTAATGAAATCTTCTTTGAAAAGTTGCTTACGGAACACAGAACTAGTGTCTCTGTTAGAAAATTCTAAGCAGAAACACAAAACTGCCTTATCTTAAACATAGTCTATCTGCAAAGCAGAGGCTCAGTTACTCATTTCCAAATGGCTACTTGCTTTGTAGTAGTTTGATTCTAGGTCATAGTCTTCTATTGTATATTTGAGGTAGAAGACATCAAAATACAGAATTTTTTTTTTTTCTGATGAGATCTCAGGCTGCAATTATCCCTGACTTACAAAGAAAAAGAGATAGAAGGAAGGAAAACCATGGTCAGACTAGACAATCACTATGAGCTCAAGCAGTTAAGTAACTCAGCACTCTCAATCTATCATCACACAGTTCTGTTTAGGTGTTATGGAAGACAAGATCCATTCACTGGGACAATTCTGCTTGAGAAAATGGAAAGATCATACTATGTTATTAAGGTATCTAAAAGAAAAAAGCAGAATAACAACCTCAGTTCTTTATACCTTTCATCCCTTAAAAAGCAATGGATTTCAAGA